ATTTACCGGTAACCTTTATTTCAACAGGCAAAACATTAAGAGCAGTTTTCTTATTTATAATGTTGGCCTGAGTTAGATACATGTCTGATTTAAAACAACACTAATAAGAACCGTGATTAAACATTAGTGTGAGGAATAATGTCTGACATCTTGACTCATATATAAATAGCCTGCCCCTTTAAGATATGTCATGAGGCGGGGTCAGGATGCAAAGAAATTGGTTACTGGATGTGGTTTTCCGGGTTCTGGTCACTGGTTAGCTGATACCTGTCAGAGGCAAATTAAATTAAAGCTAATCAGTCCACAGCTGGTCCAAATGGAACTGTATGGCTCACTCAAACATTCACATCATTATTATTAACTGGTGTTAGATCTGAAAAGGTAAAGGGTAAAGAACATTGCTAATTTTTTAACAGAATCATTAAACATCTTGAACTCCCTATTTTCACAACATGAGGTTGGGTGGGGAGCGGTTTGCAACCAACACTATTTACGGTGGGGATGGTGTGCTGCTGACCTCAAACTCGGCACATTGTGGGTTGGTTGGCAGAATACTACAAAAACCTCCTCAATCCCACCAACACGTCTTCCCATGAGGAAGCAGAGTCTGAGGACCCTGGGTCAGATTCTCCAATCTCTGGTGCTGAGGTCACTGAGGTGGTTAAAAAGCTCCTCGGTGGCAGGGCACTGGGGGTGGATGAGTTTCGCCTGGAGTTCCTTAGGGCTCTGGATGTTGTGGGGTTGCATTGGTTGACGTGACTCTACAATATCTCGTGGACTTAGGGGGCAGTTCCACTGGATTTGCAAACCGAGGTGGTGGTCCCCCTGTTTAAAAAGGGGGACCGCAGAGTGYGTTCCAACAATAGGGGGATCACACTTCTAAGCCTCCCTGGAGAGGAGGGTCCRTTGGATAGTTGAATCTCAGATTCAGGAAGAGTAGTGTGGTTTTTGTCCTGGCCGTGGAACAGCGAACCAGCTCTACACACTCKGCAGAGTCCTGGAGGGTGCATGGGAGTTTGCCCAACCTGTCTACATGTGTTTTGTAGACATGGAAAAGGCATTCGATCGTGTCCCTCAGGGACTCCTGTGGGGGATACTCCGGGAGTATGGGGTACCAAGCCCATTGATACAGGCTGTTAGGTCCCTGTACGACATGCCATTGCTGGTAGTAGTCTGACTCATTTTCTGGTGAGAGTTGGACTCCGCCAAGGCTGCCCTTTGTCACAGATTCTGTTCATAACTTTTATGGACAGAATTTCTAGGCACAGCCAAGGTGTTGAGGGGATCCATTTTGGTGATCTTAGGATCACATCTCTGCTTTTTGCGGATGATGTGGTCCTGTTAGCTTCACCAGATTGTGAACTCCAGCTCTCACGGGATCGGTTCACAGCTGAGTGTGAAGTGGCCAGGATGAGGACCAGTGCCTCCAAATCCGAGACCATGGTCTTGAGCCGGAAAAGGGTAGGTTGCCTTCTCCGAGCTGGGGAGGAGGTCCTGCCCCAAGTGGAGGTGTTTAAGTATCTTGGGGTCTTGATCTCGAATGAGGGAAGAATGGAGTGGGAGATCGACAGGTAGATTGGTGCTGCATCTGCAGTGATGCGGGCRCTGTAGTGGTCTGTCGTAGTCAAGCGAGAACTGAGCCAGAATGGGAAGCTCTCGGTTTACCGGTCAGTCTATGTTCCTCACTCATCTATGGTCATGAGCTTTGGGTAGTGATGGAAAGAACATGATCGTGGGCACAAGCGGCCGAAATGAGTTTCCTTCGCAGGGTGTCTGGGCTCTCCATTAGAGAGGGTGAGAAGCTCAGTCATCCAGGAAGGACTCAAAGTAGAGCCGCTGCTCCTCCACGTCGAGAGGAGCCAGTTGAGCTGGCTCGGGCAGCTGGTTAGGATGCCTCCTGGATGCCTCCCTGATGAGGTGTTCTGAGTATGTCCCACTGGGAGGAGGCCCAGAGGAAGAYGCAGAACACACTGGAGGGACTATGTTTCTYGACTGGTCTGCGAAGGCCTTGGGATTCCCCCGGAYGAGCTGGCCCAAGTGGCTGGGAAGAGGGAAGTTTGGGTCTCTGCTTAGGCTGCTGCCTTCCTGACTCGATCCTGGATAAGCGGCAGGAAATGGATGGATGGAATCTGAAGTATGTAGCTCTGAAACTGTATTGTGTTGTATTGAAAATTCAGTTTGATTACGTTCACGTTCAGTTTCAGTGCCAAAATTCAATTGTTTGTGTCACACATCCTGGTTCTTGAGAAAGCCACAAATTAATCTAACACAGATCTACAGTTTCAGATTTACAGTTCACATCAGTAAAACTTTCTTTGAAATTGAAATTGAATTATAGAACTGAAAATAGTCAAACTGAATTTTAAATATAACAAAATGCAATTCCATAGACACATTAATCAGATTCAAAACTTTTAATTCTGATTCTAACCATTAAATTCAGTTTCAATTGAGTGAAATTCATTTTCAAAACAATACATTTAAATTTCAGACATTCAGTCTGAACAATTCCAATTCAGTTTCTGATGGCACAGGTTTCTTCCTATATCAACACAGCTCTGGGGAACAAATGCAAAAAAAATGAACAGATTTTATTCTGACCACCTGTGAATTGACTTGTGTCCAAAATGGGTAATGGGTGAGGGGACCTAAGTCTGGAACATGGTCATCATCTGGAAAGCTGCCATATTGGATCAAAGTTTAAAATTTTCAATACGAAGCTGGTCACAATTTTCTCAGAAACTRACTATGGCACTGCAATTTCGAATGCAATATCTCTTGTGGTTAAAAAGTTATTAAYACAGA